TGGATCGTCGGCGAAAGGGAGGGCGGAGGCTCCGGGGGCTGGGCGGCCAAAGGGGGGAAGGGGGGGGGGCAAGCTTCCAAGCCCCCCCCCCCTTTGGCACAAAGGGGGGGAGGGGGGTGGGAGCTTCCAGCAGGGCGGCTCCAAGGGAGGGGGGCGGTAGCTTAAGCACCCCCCCGGGGGTAGGGGGGGGTAGCTTCCGGGGCGGCCAAAGGGGGGTGGGGGGTGGGTAGCTTCCAAGCCCCCCTCCCCCTTTGCACGAAAGGGGGGGAGGGGGGGAGGTAGCTTCCAGCAGGGCGGCGCCAAGGGAGGGGGGGGTAGCTAAGCACCCCCCCCCCCCCCCCCTCGAAAGGGGGGGAGGGGGGGGGGTAGCTTCCGGGGAGGGCCCAAGGGGGGGGGGGGGGTAGCTGTAAGCCCCCCCCCCCCCTTGCAAAAAAAGGGGGGAGGGGGGGGGGCTTCCAACAAGGGCGGCTCAAGGGAGGGGGGGGTAGCTTAAGCCTAGCCTCCCCTCCCCTTTGCTCGGGCCCTGTGGGCGCGCTCTCTCCGATATATGCTGATACGTGACTCCCAGGCGATACTTCAAATCCAGCGAAGAAGATGAGCTGCGTGTGACGAGGACGGTGGATGAGGGAGTGAAGCATATGCGGTGGCAGGTTGGAATGAGATGACAGGGACGGTGGATGGTGGAGGAGGAGGAGGAGGAGGAGGAGGAGGAATGAGGACGACGATGAACAGGAGGTGGACAGTGCAGGGTGAGAAGGTGGATGGACAAAATTTAGGAGGAGGGGGAGAAGGAAGAGAAATTGAAAGTGTGAGAGGAAGAGTTGGTCGAAAACGAGGATTATGATGACGTAACTAATGACGAGGAGGACGACGACAATAATGTGGATGAGGAGGAGGAGGAGTAGGATGAGGGGGAGGAACATAAGGTATGGAAGAGGGAGGATCGTTCGAAGCATTCGGGCGACAGCAAGGCAGGCTTGAACACACCTCGCAGATGCCCCCATTCAGTGGGGCATCGCGAACGCGACGTAGACGTTGGCCAGTAAGCGGTATACCACGGGCTCGCCCAGCACGTCCACGGCATCCGAGACGAAGACCGCCGAGACCACGACGCGAGCAGCGAGCAAGGTCTCCCCTGCACCCAAGGCCATGACGAGGCAGACGTCCTCTGCCGCGGACCCGCACCAGCAGCAGCAGCAGCAGCAGCAGCGGCGGCAGCATCTGCATCGGCGGCCCCCGCACGCTCGAAATCTTCACGGGCGCACGTGTGGATGTTGGGCTGGACTATCTGGGTGGTCCTTGGCGAGCGGGTGCGCGGTGTGAGGGCTTCCCGCTGTGGGATGGTGCTCCGATGGCGGGGCGCATCGCGCCCATCCTTGAGGCAGCTCGGCGTCCTTGTCTGCGGCATCTGTGAGCCACCTGGCCAGCTTGACCTCGGGGCCCACGCCCGCGATGCTGGGCCGCAGCGTGCGCGCGCTCGCCGCTCGCCCGCCGACGCGGCGTGCCCTGGCGGAGGGAAGGCGGGCCGCGCCCCCCGCGCGCCCCCCCCTCGCCGCTGCCCGTCCGTCGGGCTGCCGCCGCCTCGCGCAGGCGGGGCAGCCACGGCACCGCCGCCCCTGCTGCGGCCCCCTCCGCCTCCAGGTCGCGCACCCCCCGCCGGCGGCGGGCGCGCGCCGCTCCCAGGCGCCGCCCGGAGCCGCTGCCGGAGGGGCCGGCGGCTGCTCCACTCGCGGGCGTTGCGCCGTGGAGGGGGGGGGGGCGAAGATCACCACCCACCAAACCACCCCAACCCAACCCGAAGGCTCAAATTTACAGTCGATTTCCAGTGGGGGGGGGTCGGGGAACATCGAAAAAACACGCGTGGAACCCTTACCCCCCCCAACCCGAAACTCGGGTCTTCGGGTTGGGTTGGGGTGGTCTGGTATGCAGTCAGAAGAGAAAGGTGCACGCTGTGGGCCCCAAAGGGGGCCCCTCCGGGGCCCAGAAGGGGCGCGCTTATTCATCGCCTCCCAGTCAGCAGCCCTGAACTGCCCGCTTCTTTACCGCCCCTCCCGTTTTCTGCCCCCTTCCTTCCCGCCTCTCGTTTACTGCCCCCCTTCGCGTCGCCCAGCGTTTCGGGTCCCGCCGGCGGGAGCCCTCCGCCGTCCCCTCCGCTTCCGTCCGCCGTGCGCCGCCTGCGGCAGAGCTTCCGCCGCTGCCCGGGGCGCCTCCAGCGCTGCAGCCAAGGGGCAGCCCCCGAGCGGGGCCGCACCGCGCTGGCTGCGCAGCGCCGCGGTCGCCTCCAGCAGGCGCTCCATCGCGCGCCCATCGCTGCGGCGGTGCTGCGCCCGCCGCTCGGCTGCAGAACGGTTCGGGCGACGGCGCCGCGGCGCCTCGCTCGCTTCCAGCAGGGGCGACCGCATCGGCATGGCCACGAGCAACGATGATGCCGCGGCGGAGCGAAGGCGAACTCCGATCGTGAGGGCTGGCTCGTTCGAGCCAGACAGGCTCGAGCCGAGCTGGCACTAGGGGAGGAGGAGGAGGAGGAGGAGGAGGAGGAGGAGGAGGAGGAGGAAGAGGAGGAGGAGGCGGAGGAGGAGGAGGCGGAGGAGTAGTAGGAGGATGAGGAGGAGGAGGAGGGGAGGAGGGAGGGGAGGAGCAGAGCGGAGAAGGAGGAGGAGGAAGAGGAGGAGGAGGAGGAGGAGGAGGAGGAGGAGGAGGAGTTGGAGGAGGAGGAGGAGGAGGAGGGGGAGGGCGGAGGAGGGAGGAGGAGGAGGAGGCGGATGAGGAGAAAGAGGAGGAGGAGCAGAGGGAGGTGGAGGAGGAGGGGGAAGAGGAGGAGGAGCAGGAGGAGGGGCAGGAGGATCAGGAGGACCAGGAGGTGGAGGAGTAGTAGAAGGTTCGGCCACTGGGGTGTTTGGGAAGGGGTTTACACAACTAGTGAACTCCCAACACCTAAGGCAGGGTTTGGTTTTTACTCAGACGCCCCCGCCTCACCTCACACCCGCCTCCCTGGTGCCCTCGCACCTACTCATGCTCAGACTCACATTCATTCACACACACACATAACCCTCATACTCAGACTCAATCGCGCTCCGACTCACTCACACTCAGACTCACTCATATTCATACTTACTTATACACACATATATCTATTAATACACAGACTCACTGCCACTCAGCCTTACTTGCACTCAGTCTCACTCAGACTCAGTCATGCTCAGGCTCACTCGTACTACGTCTTACGTGGATGTCTCAGTTTTTTTTTGTTTTTTGTTTTTTTTGTTTTGGCGTCCCGAACTTCTTTCGTTTGGTGGTCCAATGCTCACCGCGATCTAGCAGGCCTAGCATTCGGGCACCCCGAGGGGGGGGATCCGCCAGGGGGTATCTCACTCAATTGTTCGCGCCCAGGTAGCGGGGATGTCTCAGGCGGTTTGCTTCTTTCGGCCCCCCTACGTGTCTTACTCATATTCACTCACACTCAGACTCATTCGTGCTGACATTCACTCATGTTCAGACTCACTCATTCTCAGACTCACGCATATTTCGGCTCACCGAACTTACTCGCAGACTCACTCATATTTAGGCTCACCCAGACTCACTCGCAATCAGACTCAGTCATATTCAGACTCACTCATGCTCAGACTCACTTGGGTCACTTCTCACCGCGATATAGCAGGCGGGGCTTGGGCACCCCAATGGGGAGCCGCCAGGGGTGGGGACACTCCGGGATTCGCGCCCAGATTGTGGGATGTCTCAGGCTGTTGGCCTTTTTGGGTTCCCAGTTTCTTTCGGAGCACATTGTGAGGATACCTCAGGCGAGGCGCTGCTGTCAGCACTCCCAAGGGGGAGCCGCCAGGGTGGGGACTTCTAGGATTGGCGCCCAGATGATGAGGTTGTCTCAGGCGGTTTGCCGGTGTGGGCTTTCGACATCTTTTGCTTTCGGACCATCTTGTGAGGATGCCTCAGGCGAGGCACTGGTTTCAGCGCTCCCAAGGGACGGCTGCCCCGGGTGGGGGCACACCAGGATTCGCGCCCAGATTGTTGGGGATATCTCAGGCTGTTTTCCTGTTTGGGTTCCCAACATCCTTTGCTTTCGGATCAGACTGTGAGGATGTCTCAGGCGAGGCGCTGTTGTCAGCACTTCCAAGCGGGAGCCGCCAGGGGTGGGTACACTCCAGGATTCGCGCCGAGATCGTGGGGATGTCTCAGGGGCTTTCCCTGCAAGCCTCTCTTTGGATTTGTGTGTTCCTCGCTCGCTCATATTCAGACTCTCAAACTCAAGCTCGCTCACACCCAGACTAACTCGCACTCAGACTCACTCAAACTCAGACTCACCCACCCGCAGACTCACTCATACTCAGACTCAATCGTATCCGGGCTCACTCATCCGCAGACTTGTACTCATTATACTCGTGTTCAGACTCGCTAAAACCCAGACTCGCTCGCACTCAGACCCACTCACACTCAGACTCACTCACACTCAGACTCACTCATACTCAGACCCACTCGTACTCCAACTCATTATACTCAGTCTCAGCCATACTCAGATTCAATCATAGACGGATTCATTCACACTCAGAATCACTCAGTCAGATCGCTCACGCTCATATTCACTCACGCTAAGGAATACACATGTGGTTACCGCGAAATAGCATGCGTGGCGGCTGGGCACCAAAAATGCCATCAGGCGCCGCCAGTAGCACGCCAGAGAGCGGGCGGAGCAACGCCAGGCACTCTTGCTACAGTTGCCGCAGTGAGAACTGCAAGAGGAACCTTCCCTCGCTCTGCAATTTGTGTATCTTTCATCGTTCCTGAGGGATGGCGAAAGGAGGAGGGCGTCACTGAAGTCGTTGCGGTCGTTGTCGTCACTGCCGCTCCCGTCGTGTGCGCGGATTCGCCCTCACACTTAGATGCTTACAGACAGAGTTCCTCAGCGAGACTTGACGAGATTATCATCTGCACATGATGGGGATCTCCGCGTCGAGTAATCTATTGTGCTTCATCTCGGCGGTCCCAAGGTACGTCGCCGCTTTCCTGTGTCGAAAGGCTCCAGGCCACGTCAATTTCGACTTCAAGCAGGTGGTGCTTCTGGACCAGCCGCCGTGCGGTGCCCTCCCCTCCGCGGCTAGTCGTCGTCCGCGTTGTCCATTCTCCACCTCCATCCTCCATCGCTCCTCCCTCTCTTACTCTCTGTCCCATCGCTTCTCGTCTTCCCTTCTCTCCCCCTTTCTCCATCATGCCTCCTCCCTCCTCTGTCCTCCTCTTACTCCTCTCTGCGCTTCTGCATCTGCTCGTGGTCGTCGTCCTCATTTTCCGCCATCATTGCCCGCGTCCTCTGCGCCCTCCCTCTTCTCCTTTTCCTTTTCCTTCTCCTTCTCCTTCTCCTTCTTCTCTTCTCTTCTCTTCTCTTCTCTTCTCTTCTCTTCTCTTCTCTTCCCATCTCTTCTCTTCTCTTCTCTTCTCTTCCCTTATCTTCTCTTCTCTTCTCGACTCTTCTCTTCTCTTCTCTTCTCTTCTCTTCTCTTCTCTTCTCTCCTCTGCTCTCCTCTCCTCTCCTCTTCTCTCGTCTCCTCTCCTCTCCTCTCCTCTCCTCTCCTCTCCTCTCTCTCCTCCTCCTCTCCTCTCTCCTCTCTCCTCTCCTCTCTCCTCTCCCCTCCCCTCCCCTCCCCTCTCCTCTCCTCTCCTCTCTCCTCTCTCTCCTCTCTCTCTCCTCTCTCCTCGCTCCTCTCTCCTCCTCCATCCTCCTCTCCTCTCTCCTTTCTCTCTCTCCTCTCTCCTCCCTCCTCTTTCCTCTCTCTTCTCTTCTCTTCTCTCCTCTCCTCTTACCTTCTCTCTCTCTCCTCTCCTCTCCTCTCTCCTCTTCTCTTCTCTTCTCTTCTCTTCTCCTCTCCTCTCCTCTCCTCTCTTCTCTTCTCGTCTCTTCTCTTCTCTTCTCGTTCTCTCTCTTCCCTTCCTTCTCTTCTCTTCTCTTCTCTTCTCTTCTCTCTCTTCTCTTCTCTTCTCTTCTCTTCTCTTCTCTTCTCTTCTCTTCTCTTCTCTTCTCTTCTCTTCTCTTCTCTTCTCTTCTCTTCTCTTCTCTTCTCTTCTCTTCTCTTCTCTTCTCTTCTCTTCTCTTCTCTTCTCTTCTCTCCTCTTTTCTCCTCTTATCTTCCCTTTTTTACATTTCTTCTCTTCTCTTCTCTTCTCGTCTCTTCTCTTCTCTTATCTTCTCTTCTCTTCGCTTATATTCTCTTGTCTTATCTTCTCTTCTCTTCTCGTCTCTTCTCTTATCTTCTCTTCTCTTCACGTCTCTTATCTTCTCTTCTCTTCTCTTCCCTTCTTGGCTCTTCTCGTCTCTTCTCTTCCCTTCCTCTTCCCTTCCCTTCTCTTCTCTTCTCTTCTCTTCTCGCCTCGTCTCGCCTCGTCTCGTCTCGTCTCGTCTCGTCTCTTCTCTTCTCTTCTCTTCTCTTCTCTTCTCTTCTCTTCTCTTCTCTTCTCTTCTCTTCTCTTCTCTTCTCTTCTCTTCTCTTCTCTTCTCTTCTCTTCTCTTCTCTTCTCTTCTCTCCTCTCCTCTCCTCTCCTCTCCTCTCCTCTCCTCTCCTCTCCTCTCCTCTCCTCTACCCCGTTCTGCTTCCCTCTCTTCTTCTCCTCCTCTTCCTCCTCTCCTTCTTTCTGCTTCCCTTCCCTTCCTTTTCCTTGCCTGGTCGTGTGGAGGCCTCCCCAGCCATTCCGGTGCGTTCGGATTGGCCAGGTCCATCAGCCAATTCTTGGTCGTCCGATCTACAGGCAGAGGGATGAGCCTTAGCGAGGAGGAAGGGGGGCCCGTACTCCTTCTCCTCCCCCTTCCCCTCCCGTCCTCCTCCTCCTCCTCCTTTCTCCTCCTCCTCCTCCAGCCCCTGGGCTCGAAAGATTCGAGCAGGCGGGGCCCGAACGTCCTAATTCACACTGCATCATGGCGCCTCGACCGCGTGGTCGACACTTACTGACGAGGTGACCGCCGACCACGTCGAAGCTGAGGGTGCTGGGCTGGAACCCACTGCACGCTACGGGTGACCGCCTTTCGGAGATCATGCAGTGCACGCGGAACACGGATTTCACGCTCTTGTCTGGCACCCAGAACGTCTGCCGTGAGGCTCAGGGAGTCCTCCAACGGAGGATCGGCAGTTTCACCAGGACTTTCTACCAATTCGAGTGCTGGCACTTCCATCATTTTTGGCCGACGGTATCGCGACCATCATGTTCGGCGAGTCTTTCCCAGCCCACCTGAACTCGGAGGTCGCTGTGTGGCTGCTCGCGTTCGCTGCGGCGTTGTGGACGTTTGCGTTGGTGCTCTTTATTTCCGCTACAACCGCTCAACCGAGGAGAGCGGGCCCGCAGTACATTCAGACCGTGGCCAAGATGGTGGGGTGGAGGCGCACCTGCCTGTCTCAGCTTCCTGTTCGTTGCCTGCCCGTTTTTTTCGCCGACCTCAGCGATGGTTTCGGCTGCCGCAAGATTGAGGGCACCTGGCAGGAGTACGAGAGCGGCATTATGGGTAACACGCGCACACGGGAACGACGACGGCAGGGCGCAGGAAAACTGGTGGCCGATCGTTTGACGCGGCAACACACGTACGCCGCCAACACCGTCGGCAACTACGAATCGACTTTCTACGGGAACGGGCCTGAGGATTCGAGTAGCTTTATTGGTTTTGTATTTCTTCCACGGCTGGTCCTCACGGGTCACGAAGTGTCATACACTACAACGCCTGAGCTCGCAACTACAGGCACTTACGGTGGCCTCCGCGAGATCATGCTCCAGTTTATCTTGACTCCTTGCATCTTCGTAGGCCCCACGATTGCGACCAAACGGAACTACCGTACAAGTGGGACATGTATGCGTTCATGGCGGCGGCCAAGCAGGGCGAGCAGCGCATCGATTTCGTGAATGGCGTGACGGCCCGGCTCGAGGCGCATGCGGAGGAGATTACCACAACTCATGATCAGGATGCCCCTGACCACACCTTCGAGCTGCTGGAGCGCTGCCTGGTCGAGGTTGGGGCTGAGTACTTCACGAAATCACCAGATTTTCCTGACGAGTACGCCCATTGGGCGGAGCTGCGCAGGACCCTCCTCGAGCAGCGGATCGAATTACGAGCTTCTCGGGTTTACATCTGAATTGGACCGGGTGGAGCAGGAACTGAAGGATCTGTCTCGACTTCTTCGACTCACTCGCCAGAAACACGTACGTGCTATTCGCGAGTCTTACGTACAAGCATTCTACGAAGCCTGGGCCCAACAGGACTTGTGCGAGGCCATGGACTGGGTTCGACGGGCCGCCCGATGCCGTTTCTCGGCAAACAAACGAGATGGACGACGACTTGGAGGGACACCGATTTCACCATCAGAATGGCTGGACGTTTGGTCCTTGCCTGGAGGTGGCGTGGGCATGCAGGTGCGACAGATGGACTTAGGTGAACGGAGGAATATTCGAAACGACCTCGGCGTCAGCCAAATCTACGAGATTGTCCGGTCTGACGATCGTCCCGAACAATTAGCTTACAGGGACATCACTTGACTTCGTAAATATGTTCGACGTGCACCCAAACGCAGAGTTGTTCCTGAAGAGTCGCCCCACCTCGAGTTCTGGTGGCAACTCCTCCATCCTGAACGGGGAATGCAGCGCTGACGCCCAGGACTGGAAGCCCCTCTGGCACCTGAAGAGCCCTTGCAGTTCCTCGAGACCCTGAAGGATGGCACGATGAAAATTCGGATCTCGGGCCTGGCCCCGCTATACTGGAGTGTAAGCAAAGGGTGTGCTCTGCATAAGTCGGCCCAGCCTGGGCCCAGGGGCAAACGCGTCGTCCATGTTCTTCGTGTCGCTCGTTTTTTTTGTCTTCGCTGGCCTGCTACAGAACGAACTAGCCCCTGGAGATTGTGGTTTTCAACGTCATCGTCGTCGGGAGGGGGCTGTTCTCGCGTCTCAGGTGGTGGGCTGGAGGCTTCGGAAGGCTGGGTGGAGTTCTGGAGCTAGTTTGAAAGATATGAGTATTGCATTTGGAAGTTCGAGTTGGGGGGCGATGGACACTGCCTTGTCAATGCTAGTCCAGCCTGGAACTGTCGTGCTGTGTAAGTATAGATATCGTGAGGCAGTCGTTCTACTACCTAGTGACGGGGGAGAACTAGCGGTCAAGACGGAAGTTGGAGGTGTGATGGGCGACCCGTTCATGGTGGCAGCCTTCTCAATGACATTTTGTTGACCTGCGTAGAGAAGGGTGAACCTGCGCCATTGCTTCCCCGCGCAGAATGGGACGGCCAGGAGGTGGGCCTCAGTCTGTTTAAGTCTGAGGATGACCTCTTCCGCTACACCCTCATAGCCCTCGGGGACTCCATGGGGGACTTCCTGGCCAAATTGCAGCACTCCGACGATTGCCTCGACTCTCTCCTCCATGCATGCGCGTTCAAGCAGAACAGGGGGGAGCAGGAGTTTGGCGGTCTGGATCGAGGGGGAAGGCGCCTTGGCTTGTAAGACATGGTTTCGCTGGCCTGGGCGGCCCCTTTCTCTCGGGGGAGCTCAGGGAGGAGGTGGGGTATCTCGGGCCCCATATCTCGATGTCCCAGGCATCCAGTCCGGAGATTACCCGACGGCATCGAGCAGTTCGATCGGATTTCTACTCCATGGGGGGTTTCTGGTCTCTCAGATTACCATGGAAATTCACGCGTTCTAATTTCACGTTGTGGTCCAGCATTCAGCTTTGCGTGGCCTGGGATCTTTTTTGGTCACTATGCAGCAGTGCGCCGGGCTAGACGCTACAGTGGCGCACTGCGCTCGCGTCGCGATGCGTGGGCGAGCTAGCTTGAAGACCGAGTCAGGAGCGACCCGCCCGTTGACGCCAAAAGGAGTTCTACGGCATTGGCGCATTTGTGAGACGCAGATCGCGCTCGTCATCCGTCGTCTTAATTGGTGCGAGGTTTGGTCGCGCTTCCCTGGCAGTCCTCTCCAGCTACTTGCTGCTCTCCTCGGCTCTGTTCCTTGCGGGAGTGGTATGGCGCCTATGGTCGACGGCGTTCTTTTTTCGCAGGCCTCCCCTTGGGCTTTTCGCGTCGTCGAGGACTCTGAGTGGGCTCAGGGCTCCTTCGCGACCGCGAA